TTATCAAATTGTAGAAAGATGTCTTGTAATAGGATCCTGTTATAAGCAAACACATATACGTGTCAGTGCCAGGGGTATGTTAAGTACTCAAGTACAGTGTTTTTTTCCTCATCTGTGTGGCAACATTTTATGACATAAAGTGAAAGGTTGTACCCATTGTGGTCAAAGCTGTTGGTCTGAAACTAGTTGATAGTGTTTTATGTTTACCTGCTTACATTTTTATAAGGCTACTATGCTGGAGACTCCTGCCAACCTAGCAGTTCGAAAGCAAGAAATTGCAAGTAGATAAATAGGTACCACTTCAGTGGGAAGGTAACAGCATTCCGTGCACCTTGGTGTTTAGTCATGCCGGCCACATGACCACGGAAATGTCTTCGGACAGCGCTGGTTCTTCGGCTTTGAAATGGAGATGAGCACCGCAACCCTAGAGTCGGATTCGACTGGCTTTTGAGCAAAGGAACCATTACCTTTATGCTGGAGAATGTCTATCATCTTGTCTATCATCAGTTAGCAAGGTTGTCTTACTGTGAGATGGGTGGATAATAGAACATCTGAAACAAATAGGGCAATATTTTACAACACTGTGATTGGTTGGACTTAGGTAAACATTGTGTTTTTCTTGATATCTATTGGTTCACCTTAGTAAAACCTTCCTTCTTTCAATATCCAGATAAGTGCTTTCATGTAAGCAAGCAATGGAATCAGGTAGAGTTTCTTAGATTTATCTTAAAGTAGATTTCAGCCTACCTCTGGAAGCTGGAGGAAGGAACCACAAATAAAACTATGTGCATCCATGTTTTCTGACAATTTACTAGGAACTATTTATACTAGGTATAAAGGTAAAGGTAAAGGTTCCCTTGCTTGAAAGCCAGTCGAATCCGACTCTAGGGTTGCAGTGCTCATCTCCGTTTCAAAGCCGAAGAGCCAGCACTGTCCAAAGACGTTTCTGTGGTCATGTGGCCGGCATGGCTAAACACCAAGGCGTACGGAACGCTGTTACCTTCCCACCAAAGCGGAACCTATTTATCTACTTGCAATTTCTTGCTTTCGAACTGCTAGGTTGGCAGGAGCTGGAACTAGAGATGGGAGCTCACTCCATCATGCGGCACCTGGGTCTCGAACTGCTGAACTACCGACCTTCCACAGCCTGCAGTTCAGCGTCTTAACCACTTGAGCCACCGCAGCTCCATACTAGGTATGCTTTCTGACAATAACTTTTATCTTCTTATACCTGTCTTTTCCCATTTATTTTGGACAAGACAGATGGGCCTGAAAACAGGGACATTATGTATTGCTAATGAGTTATTTCCACTAGGGATTAAACCTGCTCTCTGCCCCACTGAGAATCAGCCCTGCTGTTCTTTGCTACTTTCTGTTTCTGAGCCAGACCAAAGTTTTATGGAATGCTGAGAACTGGCTTTAACTCTCCCCTAAAGAAAAAGGATTAATGCCAGAACTAGGAAACAGCAGCCCAATGTGCCCTTCTTTTATCTTTCCCAGTAACATCTATAATTTAATAAGTATATCATGCGCCATGTTTCCCTCTGAGCTGCAGGCAATGAAGTCAAGCAGGGACAGAGAACATGAACCCCTACGACATCACATTTTGTATTGCTAAACAGTATTAGGGAGAGGGAACAGACACAAGGCTGCTTATTTCAACTAGAGCTACATATACCCTCTATAACAGGGGAGGCGGCCAAGAAGTAGGTCTATACGCCCATATGTGGTGGGAATGTAAAGTGGTTAAGGAATTTTGGCAAAAGATTGTAAGGGTTATCTTTGACTTATTTCAAGTTAATGTAGATATTAACAGGGATTTGCTTATTTCTGGAATATTGGGAAACAAAAAAGTGGAAAGAAATAAATGGGAGTTATATAAAATTATGGTTTTAGCCGGGATGGCTGTAATAGCATTGGGATGGAGGGATAGGCATAAGTGGACAATGGAGAAATGGAATAATTATGTCTTTGAACACGTACTATCAGATATATTCACACAGATAATTACTAAAGAGACATGGGAGGAGAAATGTCAAAAGATTACAAATAAATGGGTGGGATATAAGGGATGGGTGGAAAGGGGGGAAGCCAATCCAAATATCCAAATACGAATGAAGAATCTGTGCACATGGTTAAAAATATGAAGATACTACAAGGAGGGGGGGAGGGGGGTAAAATGATTCTATAATGATTTAATGTAAGATAATGTATATAAGCTTCAATAATAAATTAAAAAAACATTTTTTTAAAAAAATATATAACAGGGGAGGCCAAACTTGTTTAACGTTAACAGCCACACAGAATAAACGTCAGATGTTTGAGAGCCGCAAGACATGAACAAATATTACTCACATGTTCTTACTGGAAAATATGCAAATTTGCTTTTTATTAACATGAAATTAGACCGTGTGAAAGAGCCACATGCAGCTCTCGAGCTGCAGTTTGGCCAACCCTACTCTATAACATCCGTGCTTCTTCAGTCATTCCACAAAACAATCTGCATAGGGCTATGGGTTTCCAGTATATTAGAAGTTTCAGAGGTAAGGTTTTGTTCAGTATGTGTGTGGATTCCTTCCCCCCCAAGAAATCTGTGTCATAGCAGTGACTACAGAATCATGGTGGCATTAAACAGGTGAGGGGAAGAGCACAAGCAGTCCTTTTCATTACCCCGTGGCTGCACAAAGAGATTGTATATCTCTAAAAAGTCATTACAATCCCCTTCTAGAGTAAGCATATTTCAAGCCTAAGGCCGAGAGACAGAAAATACAATAACGATCCACTTCTACAAAGTATCTTTATCTTTAGCCATCTGTCAAACGGTGAAGTGCCGCACACAAAGAGAAAGATAATGCACATATATTATTGCAACCAAAAAATATATATGAAAACCTCTTATTTTCTTTTACTTTGTTGGTTAGGTAGGAAGCACACACGGTAGGATGGGATATGGTAGTCAGCCCGGGACTTGCACGCCCTTCTTTATTGTAAAACCTTGAATATGTGCTACATGCCTAGCTTGCACAACCTCTTTTCCCCATCAAGTCACAGCTGACTTATGGCAACTCTGTTAAAGGTTTTCAAGGCAAGAGAAGAACAGAGGGGATTTGCCATTGCCAACCTCTGCATAGTGACCCTGACGTCCATGGTGGTCTCCTATCCAAATACTAACCTGGGTGAAAAGTACTGAGAAACGTTGAGTGATTTCAGCAAAGTACTTTTATTAAGCAGGAACAAGACAAAGGTAAGCCGGCTCGCAGGCCGGCTTATATGCTCAGAAACCCACCACCTAAAACACACCCACTAAGGCCCTATAGGCTATTTACAGTGGCCGAGAGTCCCATAGGCTCTCGGCCGCGGACCTGGCCCTCTGATAGGTGCGGGCTAGGATCCGCTGGACTATTGTTCTCCTGGAAGCGAAGCTCTGCTGTTCGGCCTGACCGCATGGCCCAACGGTCGCGCACGTGGTCATGGCGGAGTACATTACACTGGGCCAACCCTTCTTAGCTTCTGAGATCTGCCAAGATGAGGCTAGCCTGGGCTTTCCCAGTCAGGGCACAACCCGTTTACCATACCCCCTTCGATTGTACAAGTAGATCCTACCTGTACATATTTACGGTTTCTTTTCAAGATACTGAGCACAGTGATCCTGAGACTCTTTGCACCATTGCAAGGCAAAGTAGCTACATGCCAGGGCCGTGTGAGAACCAGCCAGCTACCTGCTCCAGCAGACAGAACAGCACAATGCAAGGGTACTCTAGGGAGAGAAATCACTCCTTTTTGCAAGGGAAGAATAATGCAATATCTGTGCTCATAAATATATTCTCTGATTATTGGTGACCAATTTCACCTTAATGAATACAACTGGTGACCTGTTTCCAGTCAATATTATGATCACCCCTAGCTATTTTGCAAGATGTTTTAGAAGCTGATAATTCCAAATATAATAGACCTGTTCTCTCTTACTGAGAAAGTTAATTTACCTCAGCAGGTAATTACAGTTACCCTCAAGGCATCCAGTTTATGATTCCATTTGCAGATTGTTAAATCAGACCACAAACAAGAGAGCTGCACATATTTTCCCAACAAACAAAAAGGTCTGAGTTAGTTCCCCCCCCCCCAGTGTCTACTTGGATGCATGGCATACAAGGGACAACGGAAGGAGACTTACAGTTAGTTATTTTCAAGTTTCTCATTTTATTTCCTGAACAAACTGTAGAGAAGCAAGCACTGCAGGGGCTTAGAAACTATGCCATCCCTCCTCTCTAGTTCTTCAGTGGAACTTGGCAGTCTGTCAAGCCTCACAGAGGACCAAGGGCACTGAGTTTCTATCACTAAATGAATAGATTCACAGTACAGTCCTAAAGTGAGTCAATGGGATTAGAAAGATTGTAACTCAGTTTAGGATTGCATTGCAAACAGGAAATCAACCTGGCTTGATAAAGACTAGCTCCTCTTCCTGCCAGGGTTTGAGGCTGGTACAGTGAGAATAATCACACCAAGTGGCCAACTCTTTTGCCTCTGTAAACTGACTATTATGATGCTCAGTGTTATCCGGTGGATCCTTTCTGAGTAGCAAAAGGACTGCTTCAACCTAGTTCCCTAGTTATGGATAACTGGAACCAGAAAAAACTCAGTGACAATTTTGTAGAATTCTTTATTGAGGAAATGACTTGTATCTATCCCAACTTTGATTGCCAGAATGAAGACAAAGTGTTTAAGCCAAAGAATCCAGAGCAGCCTCTTGTCTTCTTGCATTGGACAAGTTTCAGCTATTGACACCTGAGGGTGTGGATAAAGTGTTTTGGGTTTTTTACCACAAAATAGGCTCACTCAAAGCTAATTAATCCATCAAAGCTGATGAATTAAGGTTGCTGAGGATGCTGTTCAATAGGTGGTTCATCATTATCATTACATCAATGAGGGAAGAAAGGTTTCCAACCACTTTCAAAG